TAGCACCCCCAATGTACTTAATTTAGATATAATTCAGTTGAAGAAGTAGGAAATAAACTTCTAATCTTATATTTTTAGTGCTGACAGGGATTCAATGAAAAAAGTTCTGGATAGATCACATGGAAGACCACTCACAGTCCAATCTCTCATCATTCATGAAAAGAATAGAAAACCAAGCATTATTTTAGTGGTAAATTGGACATGCGTTAAAATCCACACTATGGACCACTCTGTGTGTTTTTTCTATACATAGAAACAGAACAAAGAAAAATGACAGTGTCTTTTCAAATATATCGAAATATCTGAACTATTGTGAACAACAGCAAAATAAATGATCCAAGTCTGCAAACTAAATGGTGTTTCAACTCGGCCTTTCCTTTTTTGCAGTGTGATTTGAGGTTACATTGAAGTCGTCCGTCAGTGTCTTGTGTCCAGCTGCATTCTGCTATCCGCCCTCATTTCTACATGGGATTTCACAATTCAGCTGTCACAGTGGTAATCCGGGAAGAACAATGAATAATGAAGCCCTTCCATCCTCCACTTTATAATTCATCACAAGGAAAACAACTGCACTGAAGTGATTTGTTCTTTCTCCGAGGCCCAAAGGAAAAAAACACAAGCTTTAATTCAAAATGAGGAATAAGGCAGGTTTCTTGTGGCTGTCGCGTACAGTCATAATCAAATATATACTAATGGTGTTGGACTGAAATGACACATGCAATACTTCTCTCTTGTCGTCGATCATTGTGTGCTGCTCTATAAAACGGAGCAAAAATGACAACGTGGTGAGTGTAGAAATGACTTTCGGGAAATGTCTCACAGCAACAAGGGCGTCTAGCACGGCATGTCAGTAGGTGTAGTGATTCTTTTGGCACCCCCTCTGTATTTCCTGGTTCCCTCTGCTTTGTTAGAATCACTCATTTTGTTCTGTGTGGGCCTCAGACTGTTTCTCTGGATGTGTCAGATATTGATAATGATTAAAAACGAATTCAACATAAGACAGACAATCTAATTTTAGTACTGAAATGGCTTCAAGTGGTTTAATCCTGTGCTAGCCTGGATCTTTCTGTGTTGAGTTTGCATGTTTGTCTCATGTGGACAGACTGAGTGCTGACGTCACCAAAAGTGATAGTTTTAAAGCGGAAAACTCGAACAGGCTATTTAAGCGGGAATGTTTTTAGCTCCAGCCGAGCTGCCAAGCCGCCTCAGTCTATCCCCACTCGCGCTACTCTGCGACAGAAGGCTCCTGATTGATAATTTGTTAATGCACATATCTGGATTTACCGAGAAAATATCACATTAACTCAAGGGTCAAAGAGAGCACTAAACCATGGATCATCAAAACCCCAAAATGGTGACTGTGACACAAACGGTTACAGAGCCTAAAGCAGCTTACTTTTCAATGTTGGTCTATAGGAGCCAGAGCGAGTTGGAGCAAAATTTCTACAGCCAATCAACTCTCTCTCACCCCAAAGTGTCAAATAGTCACTCACAAGACTCTTTTTAAGTATACCAAATATAACATGTTTTCTAACCAGAAAAAATGGTTTGACCCACAACACACACAACAATCACCCACATCCTTATCAGAACAGTGTATACACTCTTAAGTGAATGTAAGAAGACAAGACAGATAAGCATTTCTCGACAAAACACATTGATGTCTGATTGTAGTTGTAATTCTTAACACTAGACCATGCTCAGGCTGCATTTCCACGCTCGTCCATATGCTAATCCACCTGCTATCCACTCCTCCCTACCATGAACCATATGATCCGGAGATGTTGCCAAGTTTATGCATCGCCAACTGCTCCTGACAGGTCGCCCCAGTGGCATTGATGGATGGTCGCGTGAAAAATTAGCAAATAGAGCAATTAAGAGCGTGCGATTATGTTAATATGAGCGTGCGCAGCTATGGCAGAAAGGAATCTTTGAAAGAATATATGTATAAATCCAACATGGCAAGCTGTAAACAGAATGGACGGTTAAGTCGCTTTGAGCTCATAGTTTTGTCGTTTTGTGCATAAATTGCGTGTCAGCACTCACTCCAAACACCTGAAGGCAGCGAAATTAAAGTGAAGGTTTGCGTTGGTGCTAAACAACCTATTTGCCAGTTCCATAAAAAAGAAAAAAAAATGTCTATGCAGATTTTTTTTTGCTTTACACTTACACTTTTGAAACATATGTAAATGAACGCTCATGCATATTGCTATAGGTGCACTTCTTTGTGTTGAAGACGGAATCCTCTTTGCTGCTTTGAGTGACACCTGCAGAGGAAATGTATCTGTTTCTCAGCATGTACAGTAGCTATAGCTCGGCCCGCCTCCCCCCAACTCACCCCCCACCTCACCCCCCACCTCAACCACCCCCCTTCATGTGAACATTACAGGGGCATATTAGATCCGGGGGAGTGGCCACATGCCCAGTCTGCATAAATACTTCGAGTACAGCAACCATCTGGGTGGCTTCGATGTGAGAGAAGACGTCAGAGGGCCGGGGGCCCTTATATTCACACAGTGTTTGGGAAGAAGCTCTAGAGTGGGTTGCCACTGAAGGGACGTGAGCAGTGAGCATACTTTTGTGACATATTTTCACGCGTGCAGAATATTAAGAAGAAGAACTGCAAAATCCTTTTTAAGTTTCATTTCAAATGTTCAAGCAATGGACAAATAAAGAGGATGAAAAATCTTTTAATCTATGTTTAGAGCTTTAGTTGGCAAGTTTCAACCTAAAACATGATTTGCTTTTTGAATACCTTGTTACGGTTCAAAAAGGTTAGGATATACTTTTTTATGTCCCTGTAAGGAAATGTGTCATCTGCATTTTACCCAGCCCTTAATGCCACTGGGGAAACCTGTCAGAAGCAGTCAATATCTACAGTATCTCCAGGTTGCCAAGACGACTTTCGGGAGAGGATTCCATATTATGCATGAGGAACCGTGGAGGAACCCACTGAGACATTGCGGTTCGCCTTCATGCTTCACAGAAGGCAGGTCCTGGGTTTGATTCATGGACCAAGAAAGGACTTTTTGAGAGGAATTTGCGTGTTCTCTCTGTGTCTGGGTAGGTTTCCTCCGGGTTTCCCCTATATAATATGTATACTAGGAATGAGTGTAATGAGTGAATGGATGGCAATGGTGAGAGGATATGGTGTCTCCCTTCTGTCACCATAGAATAGAAATGGAACGAAACAGATTCCTTTTTTTATATGTGTGGAACAAGAAAGTGGACGGGCACTTTGTACTTTAATTGTTCTTTGATTTTTTTTGTAGCAGAATATTCCCTGTTGCCACATGTCATTTTCTTCCCCGTTATTATTCCATTTCTGGGCCACCCCCCGACAATGCTCAAAGCACCAGTCCCTCGTTGATCCTCCTGCAGGTGGTGGGTCCTCAGGATGATGGCTTCTCCTTCTTGGTCTTTCAGCAGGGGCTTCAGGCAAAGCGCGGTTAAGAGTCTTGCCCAGAGACACAATGACAGCAGATATCAGTGGGAGCAGATGAGATGGGTCGTGGTTTGTTGCCACATTTACCAGAACATGCAGCATTTCATTCTTGCTCCTTTTTATGCTAAGTCACTGTTTTTTGTACTTAAGTCTTGCATCTTTATCATGCTAAAAGTTGGAGATTTTAGACTTCTTTCCTTATTATGCTAAAGAGAGAGATTTTATACTGCTTCTTTTTTTATGGTTATGCTAGAGTTAGAGATTTTCTTTTAGTATAGTTATTTCATTTATTTTAGTATAGACCCGGCAACGGATGAAGCGGAAGAAAATGGATGGATGGATGTAGTTTTCGTTCATTTATCTTGTGCTGTGTGCTCCCCGTTCCTACTGTTCTGTAACTGGCGCTGCAACACTGAAATTTCCCCACTGTGGGATGAATAAAGGATCTCTTCGCTGAAAGAAAAAAAATCCAAGATGGCAACCAACTTCTCCACAGCTGCACAACGCCCTCTAGCCTCACATGCGTCCTCCCCCTCCTTCTCGTCCCCCTCCTCCTCCTGCGTGCGCTCTGGGTCACTGTGCTCCTCTCTCCTCTCTCCTGCTCTCAGCACACAGGCGCAGTGTGGACTGGGTTGAATGGACTAGTCTCCCCCCAGCAGCAGAAGCGGCAGCCACGTAAGAAGAGGAAGCGAGGATGTCCTGCTGAACCACCGGGATAGGCCTGGGGAAAGTTGGGCTGGCTTTTTCCCTTCACAATAACCTTCCCTGATCCCTCGTAACAAGAAGAACTGACATGCGCGACATCTTCCACTTCCATTTCCACGCGCAAATATAGCAGGGGACACAAAGAACCACTGCGTATCCTCCTGCTGCTGCTACTGCTGCTGCTGCTGCTTTTCCACTAGAAGACAATAGCCGTGCATGGATACTCGATCCTCCGGGACAAGGCCGTGCACTGACCTAGTACTAGTTTAGCAGGAGGCTAGCTTTGCACCTGCTGGCACAGTTTGTCTGTCATTGAAAGCGTCATTATCCTGAAAAGGGGAGAGAGAAAAAGAGGGACTCCCGAGACCGAGTTTGCCCGTGCGTAATGGTCGTACCCACAATCTGCATTATTGTTTCGATTTTTTGAAACGTGCCATTAAAAATCGCTAATAACAATATTAATAATAGTAATAATAAGCTAAAGATTTGTGCTTCATTCATTGTGAAAACCCGACTTTTTTGTAGCTAAAGAATTCCCGTCGTTGAGCTGTAGATTTTTGCAGCGGGTCTGTAAAGCACAGTCAACGCGCGTAGATCATTTTTTTAATCTTCCACGTTAAGTCAATCACAAAGGAATGACGTTTTGCACATAGAATTACGACTATTTTTTTTGTGTGAATGACTTCGCTTGCCAATGTGCACACGCATTGAGGGAAGCCTGTAGTTCATTCATTTATTGACTTGTTTATTTGGAAGTTTGGCTCGCTTTGTTGCATTACATCATTAGAGAGCACTGTGGAAAGCCAGGCAGGAAGGCAAGCAATTTTGTGGAGCTATTTCACCATTCCCCATGAACATACGGCGGTCGAATCCTATCAACATTTCACGTTATGGGAGATCGAGACATAAAACGCACGATTTTGAAGAGCTGTCTTGTCTAAGGACTACAGAAAGCTTCAGTCCAAATCTAGGATCGCCAAGTCCACCCGAAACCCCGGACTCTTCCCACTGTATTTCCCGGATTGGGGACTACCTATTGTTGGAGCCATTGGAGGGAGACCACGTTTTTAGGGCCGCCCACCTCCACAGCGGGGAAGAGCTCGTATGTAAAGTGAGTAGAAAATTTGAGAAATCTGTCACACTGTCTTATGCAACCTGCAAAACTTAGGGATATACGTGGCGTTTGGAGAGCTGGCTGCAGGAGCTCCAGTGGCTACAACGCACTAGACGCGCACAGTGTATACTAGTAGAGTCTATATTGGTACTTGTATGCAATATTTAGGTAGTTTACTCCCCTTAGACTTTGCACTGTGGCGTGGGGACAGGACTCCATTGCAAAATTGTGTCTAAAATGTTGAACAGTTGCAACATATAGTGTGGACAGAATTGTAAATGCAGGCAAAATGCATTCAAACTTACATTTTTCATACAATATAGACATGCATTAGGGTGTGTACTTTTTCAATGGCGGTGTCTTCATTCTTACCACTTATTAAGAGAATGGTAGCTTGGGGGTATTTCTATATTTCTGCTGTAGTTTTAGAGCTGGATTGGGCTTTTACCCCAGCTACAGTGTGTGAGATTATAAAAAAAAAAACAAGATCAAGCAACATTTGTGATATTATTGTTTTGTTGTCTGGGGAAAAAAAACACTGGTTTTAATGGGACTTCCTTGAACATATCTCTGCACACATCACATTATGTCCTTTTGACTCACTTGATAACGCCACAATCTCTTCACCTCTGACCCTGCATGTCTCACCTTTTCCACTGTAAGGAATATGCAAAACAGGCCCGAACTGGAATTCAACCGGGTCTACTTGGGTTTCATAAGCTGAGTGTCTACCCCGGTGTGCTTTTTAATAATTACTCAAATTGTAAATAGAGAGCTTGGCACTCAAGAGCCCAGTGGAAAAAGTGAATGGAGCTTGGTTTGGGTTGCATGATGTAACGTTGACAAAGGAGTGAGTAACCCGCACCGCCTCCCCGTGCTATTCTGGTTTACACATTACTCCTATTGCAGTGGCTGTAATGGACTTTCCGTATGTCGAAGCCGGATACTATATTTGAATCTTTATGGAGGAAGCAAAATGGATTATCTTTTACTTTGCAATGCACAAAACAGAGCATAGATGCAGGTTCTATGCATTCAAGCCAATATCAGCAACTTCAAATGTATTTAATTTGGGAAAAAAGTGCATATTTTTGACCATGTGTTCCTGTAGTATCATATTAAGAAAACAAAAAACAATATGTTGAATAATTCTAGTCCTCCTTCTTGGCATAATCGCCTTCAGTAAGTTTCGCTGGAGGAGAATAGTTAGACCAACAGCCAGGATTGTAGTATGTTCTGACCAAATTTTCATCCAATCGCGTAGCTGTGTGGGCGGGTCCAATCAGGTCTCTTGCTTTTGAACGTTCTGAAACTTCAATCGAAACGAGATACTAATTTCAGAAGGTCTTGATTCTAAAATTTGACTTTTGGGTATGAGTTTACATGGCCATTGTATCTAAATTGGTATATTGAGGAGCAAGTTTGTGACAATAATTTCCATAAATCTTATTGGGCATGTGAATTTAGCATTTACAAGTTCTTTGGCATCAATAACCCCAGTACCACTGAGTGCATTGTGTATTTTAAATACACAATGCACTCACCTAAATGATAATGGAATAGTCCAAGGGTATGTCTTTGTTTAATCATGCATCCAAATGAGTAATAACACCATTTATTTCAAACTTTTATTTCATGCAACTTAAAACAATAAAACAAGTTACCAAATATACAATTTTTTTAACAGAAGTTGAATTCCAAACTCCTTAAGCCAGTGATACAATTCCGATTCCAAGTTCTGCACATTTAAACCCCATACAATTGGTACAACCCATCCTACTGCGCCCATGGATAATAACTGGATAGGGTATACTAGCGACAGTAGCTCAGTTGGTAGAGCATTGGCCTTAAGGCCAGAAGGTTGTGGGTTCAATTCCCACCTCTACACCTTCTCCACCGACTCCCACTGATGACTGCTGTCGTTGTGTCCTTGGGCAAGACACTTAACCCCACTTTGCCCAAAGCCCCCACTGAAAGATCAAGGCTATGCTCACACTCAGAGAGCAGCCGTCCTCCTGTGGACTCACCACCTGCAGAGGGTCAGTGAGGGGCTGGTGCTGTGAGACTTGGGTGGCATCTCTGACTGCCACCCCTGACCCAGAAATGGATTAAAGGGTAGAAAATGGATGGATGGATGGATGGGTATTACTAGCTTACAGCTGTCCCACCTACAGACACAGGGGGCGCCCATGGTACTGCAAACTAAATTCACTTGGGCTACACAGAAATAAGTCCCATAGATCTCAATGTAAATTAAAACGGCTCGTCCTCAGCTGACAGAGAACCTACAGCTTTCATAAATATCGGATTTTGTGGGGATTTTAGTGTCCCTTGTCATCCTGAACTTTTTTTCTTCTTAAATCCTTCGGTTTTCTTTAAATCCACACTTTACTGCCACAAACTCTGCTCCTTCCCTTCCTGCTCTGACTCCGCTCTGCTGCTGCTCTGATGAACAGCTCTGATTGGTCAGAGCGCAGCTGAGCCCCTCTGTGCGCGTGCATGAAAGCCACACACGCACGTTTGGCGCAACGCATCATGGGAACTCGTCCACTGCGCAGAACCGGGAGGACCAGACGATGCCCAAATATAGGCAAATTCTGCTAATCTCCCGGTCTTCGTGAAGTCCCATGCGCTACTGAGCACAAGCCATTCATTTGAATAGGGCGCCATCTTGGATCACCGGGGCTTGATTGCGCCTAATTTGAATTCCAATATTGCCAAGCTCTGTAGAATTGAGTAAACAATGCAATTTTCTCGGGCCAATAAATCTCATTAATTTCCATGTGTTTTGTAGTACTCGTATCTCGCTGCATAATGGACTACCAATTCCATTTATAAATTAACATCCCTAAGCAATTTGCATAGACTCCAATACCGATCAATGCAGAGTCTTGCTTTGGGCTTGGATTGAAATGTATCTTGACATATTGACAATTTCCACCTTGATTTTATGTTCACTTGTATCCCACTTTTCACCCAATCGTTTCAGTGTAGAAAAGATTGATCCACTAAAATTCTCCGTGACCCATTAACCCAACTTGACAAGTCTGTATGGGTATCTCGGTTGTTTATTATTTCTGCTTTGCAATGGTCGATTTCATGCACATTTATAAAGGGAAAAGTCTAATTTTATCGATTAAAACAGAAATAAAGCATCAGAACAGCCTTTTGTATTGACTGTACAGTGCCTCACCTGAAGTCAACTGGAGGTTACCATGGAAACAAAAAGCTGTTCAGCCTTCAGTGTGACTGCTTTAATCTCCTGCAAGGTGTGGAACTTCTGTCCATTCTCCAGAGAACTTATCGATTTGAAAATTATGCTAGAAAATCTATATCTGTGCCATTCCAGAATATTCACTTGTTTCACTCGTTGAGATTATTGTGCAGATTTGGCTGATAATTAAAGTAATGCACAATATCACATATTATTCTGTGCGCAAAGATCAAATCACAGCTATAGTTTTGTCATTGTGTTTTAATCCTGCAAATATATGCATAACATATCTTTAAACCCAAACCAGATACAGATATTAACTATACATTATTCTTTTCCCTTTTGATCAGAATCAGAATCTTTTGCCTTCCAATACCAATAAAATACTACAGAATAAATTGAGAAGATGGAGAACAGGTGAAAAACTAGTGCTAACTGTGCATTTAGTCTGCTTATGTTCAATAACTACTTTATCATGCAACTATATTTTATCATGCACACATACAGTAGGACTGGACCATGGATCTATAATAACTGGATAGAGTATTACTAGCTTATAGCTGTCCCACCCACATGCACAGGGGGCGCCCGTGGTACTGCAGACTAAATTCACGTGGGCTACCCAGAAAAAAGTCCCATAGAACTCAATGTAAATTAAAACAGCTTGACCTCAGCTGACAGAGAACCTACAGCTTTCATAAAGATCGGATTTTGTGGAGATTTTGGTGTCCCTTGTCATCCTTTTTTTCTTCTTAAATCCTTCGGTTTTCTTTAAATCCACACTTTACTGCCACAAACTCTGCTCCTTTCCTTCCCGCTCTGGCTCTCATGAGCAGCTCTGATTGGTCAGAGCGCAGCCGAGCCCCTCTGTGCAAGTGCATGAGAGCTCATGTGAGACCCACACACGCGTATTTGGCGCGACGCATCATGGAAGATAATCCACTGCGCAGAACCGGGAGGACCAGACGATGCCCAAATATAGGCGAGTTCAGCTAATCTCCCGGTCCCCGTGAAGTCCCATGCGCTACTGAGCACAAGCCATTCATTTGAATAGGGCGCCATCTTGGATCACCGGGGCTTGGACTGGACATAGTGTGGAAGAAGCCGATTTCAACATAAGCTAGCTCGAGCTAAGATTGTTAGCAATAGCAACAATTTAAGGCATCTGATTGGTCAATCCTGTATGGCTCTTATCTGGTAAAGACAATATCAAAATAGAAACACGCAGAGAACACTAAACCACAGATCTTTTTACGCCCAAAAAGGGGTAAGTGTGACACAAAAGGTTACAAGGCTTTAGTTTTCACTGTAAGTCAATATGAGCTGGGGTAAGTTGGAGCAAAACATTGTTCATTATCACTTCCCTATTGGGCTTCATCGAGCTCGTGGATTAGCGTTGTCCATCCCTACACAGTCTATGATTCCAAGTTGCTCAAACACACTGCAAAGATGTGAAAAACAAAGCTATTTAATGACGCATGTATTTAATCTTCCTTCGAGTCTGTTTACTTTCTCTCTGTACATGTTTTTGGTAAACGCGTTCCTTTGGCAAATCTTGTTTTGAGTCAACAAACACCACAAGTCAATATGAGTGCTTCTTTCCAAAAACACTAAGTAATTCTGTCAGTTCGTCAATAAAAATTCTTACGGTGTAGTAGACGTCGTAACATACTAGACATGTTTGTAACGATTTTATTGATATTTGCAGTCTAATATATGTCAATAATTGTAAAAAAAAAAAAAAAAAGAAGAAGAAAAATATACACTGTAATCGTATCTCTAAAATTCCGGCCTCTCGGGTGACAAAATATTCCACCTCTTACTTTACCCCACAAATTAAATGGAAAATATTTTGGTCTCCGCCGCACGTTTCATTTCCCCTCTAACTCTGACCTCAAGACGACCACGTAATACGATGATTACCTCCATAAATCACGGTCCAGCCACAGATTTGGGGTCAACAAGGATTCGGGAAGGCTATTGGATTCCACTTTTCTGCCCAAAATGTGTCCAGGGATACTTGAGCGGATGCTTTCTATTCAATTAAACTGATCTAATAAGTGATAATTTAAACGGAAAGAAACCCGGACATTTCAAGTAGAGTGGCTGCTGCTATACTCGCCAATAATTTTCAACGGGCGTCAGTTGAAACCTCAACCTAAAGGTTTTTGATTGGTCTCGCTCAAACAGTAACAACATCATACAAACAGCAGCGGCTCTACTTCAAGCTCCTCTGTCTTGTGTGACCGATATCTCTACGACAGCATCCAACCTCTTAGCGTGATCTTGTCTTTTTCGGTCATGACTCAAAGCAACGACCAACATGAATGTACTTCTGGCCTTTTGACCTGGCTCCTCTTCACCACAACAGTTCGATACAGAGCCTTTAGCAATCGTTGGCTTTTGAAAATAATAGAATTTCCTGCAGTGTTGAAACGATATGACATATAGTAAAATGAATAGCATTTAGAAAGTTTTGATTTATATTCATACTAGTGCTGTCCAACGATTAAAATATTTAATCGCGATTAATCGCATGAATTTCATCGTTAACTTGCGATTAATCGCAAATTAGTCACCCATTTGCGTGCTGTGTGCAATTTCTTTTTTTATTGAAAACAATGTGTAGTGTTATATTACACACTAACATTTGATGCAAAATCATCAATAAATGGATGACAAAATAAATAATTGGTAACAAAAAGCCCCTTCAATGTGTGTGTGTGTGTGTGTGGAGTGTGTGTGTTTATGGGTGTGGGTGTGTGTGTGTGTGTGGGTGTGTGTGTGTATGTGTGGGTATAGACCATAGACTGTATAGAAACATCACGGTGTCATTATGATGATGATAAACAATTTTTTTGTAAATTTGTTCATGTAAATACTCTATAGTGTTTCTCTGTTTACTTTCGGTATATCTATGACTGTATACTGTTTGCTTGTATTGCCTTTTTTATTAACCCCTCCCCCCCATCTCCCACTTCATGTCCCCCCCCCCCCTCCTATGTGCCCTTCTGGGTTTCTTCTTTGGCCCCCTGTATCTCCAACTACATATTGTTTGTAATCTCTGTCTACAATGTATCTTAACTAGTCCTTTTCTTTGTGTCTATTTTTTTTTCTGTATATGTGTTTGTCTGCAATAAAAAGTAAAAAAAAAAAAAAAAAAAAATTTTTAATAATTATAAAAAAAATTAATGGCGATAAAAAAAATGACGCCGTTAATATTGATTTGCGTTAACGCGTTAATAACGCGATATTTTGGACAACACTAATTCATACATTTTATATTTTGTCTTGTTCGTCACTATTTTAGGTAGAAATTTGAGCAAGTATTTATATCTATTGCTAGTTTTAGTACTCATTACGGGATACGTTTCGACCCTAGTACCCCTTTGGACAACCCTAGTGGGAATAGATGTTATGGGTGGACCTAAATATCTTCTTACTATGGACTATGTAAAGTCAAATCTCCCTTATTTGTTTGACTTGTGTTTTTTTCCTCAAAATTATATATATAAAAAAAGAATAATCCAACACAAATGGAGCCTCCTGTGTTGAGTTATCATGTTCTCCTGGTGTCTGCGTAGGTTTCCTCCGTGTGCTCCGTGTGAGGAGAGTATGGAAAAATATTGGTACTCTACACCACTGTAAAGAGCTTTGGGGTGACCTTGGTCTGTGAAATGCACTGTATACTGTGCCTTATGGGACATGGGGTTGTTAGGTGTTTTGTGTTACCTTGAGTAGGAAAAGCACTCCTCTTCTTGAAAATGTGAGACGGGCTTCTTCTCTGACAATGTTTAAATCCAGGTTTTAAAAAAAATCTATTTAGCTGTGCATACATCCATCCATCCATCCATTTTCTTCCCCTTAATCCATTTCTGGGTCGGGGGGGTGGCAGTCAGAGCTGCACCCAGTACACTTAGCACCAGCCCCTCACTGATGCTCCTGCAGGTGGTGAGTCCACAGGAGCTGAGATCTTTCAGTTGGGCCTTTGGGCAAAGTGTGGTTAAGTGTCTTGCCCAAGGACACAACGACAGCAGTAATCAGTGGGAGTCCTGAAGTAGGTCTTACGGTGGGCTCGAACCCACGACCTTCAGGCCCAAAGGCCAATGCTCTACCAACTGAGCTACTGTCGCTGTGCATACAACTGAGGGAATATTTTTTTTTCTTTAAATATACTGTGAATTTAAATACTTTATACTAGTTACTGTGATGTACTTTATGATGTACTGTATTTTTTATTCACTGGGATTTTTTTATGATTTTAATGCCTTGTGTGACTGTTTCTATCTTGTTTTATTTGTATTTTATTTTTTTTCAGTACTTTTATTTGCCTTGTGTATAAATGAATTGTGCTATACTTATATAGCTTATAGCTTATACTGCTATACGATCGACTGACTGATACCTACTTTAACCTTCTCCTTCTTGCTCTCCCCTTTTTGTCTGCAGGTCTTCGACGTCGCTCGCTACCAGGAGTCTCTGGCGGCCTACTTCGCCCTGGGACAGCACCAGCACATAAACCAGATCCTGGAGATCCTGCTCGGGGAGACTCGGGCCTATGTGTTCTTCGAGCGGAGCCACGGGGACATGCACTCTTTCGTCCGCACCTGCAAGAAGCTGGCGGAGGACGAGGCGGCGCGACTCTTCCATCAGATAGTGTCCGCTGTAGCACACTGCCACGACAATGGACTGGTCCTACGAGACCTCAAACTGCGCAAGTTTGTCTTCAAAAACGAGGACAGGTGAGAAGAGAGAGCGTCTAGACCAGGGGTGGCCAACCAGTCAGACTAAGAGCCAATTTTTTTTACTGTGTTACAGCAAAGAGCCACATCATACAAATGTGCACTACATAAACATCACCCCAACCCTTACACACGCACGCACACGCGCACGTACTGTACGCACACGAGCAGACACGCGCACACACATGCAATCTGTCTGAGCAGAGAGAGGTGTGCTCTGCTCAGACAGATTTATTGTAAATGTCATCAACATGATAATGACAGAAATTGACTCGTACAGCACTAAAGGGCTGGACTCGACTCTCCCCGGTTTGCGGGCGCTTCCACCGCTCGCTTCAACCGCTCCCCGGTACTTTTTATTTATGGTTTGGCCCTGGTTCTAACCGGGCGAGTCGATACCAGAACAATTTCACGTCAGCGAACATCAATTATGATTCCGAAATGAATGCTTTCAATCTCTAACCAAGAAAAAAAAATCAAGTTTCAACCCAGTGTTCAGCAGAAACACAACTGTCTTTAGTAAAAGATATAGATTTGACACATAACACCAACACCACTTTAGCTGATTTAGAACCACAGACACATGCTCAGTATAAGACCAGATAGTTTCGCATTTGATTGAAGACAGACACTCACCAGGCAGGCTTATCTCCTGGTGTAATGCTAGTTGTTGTTAGCTGGTTTTAGCATGTTAGCCGGTGTTAGCCGATGTCCGTAAATGTAATCCATTTGGTCAAACCACCTCCAGACTTTTCGGGTCTGCCTCTACTTCTGCTGCTGCGATCTTTCATTTCACGGTTGTCACTTTTAAGCTTTTTAACTTTTCTCTGCATTGTCATGTTTGTGGGAATCATTCTGCTCCGTCCTTAGTGCTAGCTCCACAAACACCTTCTGGTTTCTGGTGGAACCATCGAGCTCACGCTGGTGTCCTCTCCTCAAACTGAGGAAGGTGTTGCCCTCATCCAGCGACCAAGGAATTGTTTTCCGTACGGACGTCATGGTTCGAGGCAACGTGTTGTTTGTTATGATATTTGCTACAGCTGAGGTAGCAGCTGCAGAGTGATTGACAGCGCATCTGACCAACCAGAATTGACGTTCGCCGACGTCAGATTGTTTTGGTGGCCTGGCTAGTGGAGTGAAGTCGGCCTTTACTATTGGTCAGAACTACATATGGAATGAAAGGCAGCGCCACCAACGAGGCGTTTTTGACGCTTGTCGAGTGAAAGCCCGAGAGCCGCACGGAACCAGCCAAAGAGCCGCATGCGGCTCACGAGCCGCGGGTTGGCCACCCCTGGTCTAGACGGTCTGTACAGGTGGACTGGACCATTTTAGAGATTATAGGGGGGTAATAAAGTCAAATTAACTGTAGTATTCTAATGGGAAACACATTTTAATGAAAAAAGAGTGACCATAATAGTGCACTACCTACAGTACCTAGCAAAATATATAACCTAGTAATCAAGTGTAATCTTAATTTTAGGAGTTTTTCACTGGATTTAGATTAAGATTAAGAGATTGTCCCACAGTGGGGAATTTCAGTGTTGCATCACAAGTTATGGAACAGTAGGAAAGAGGAGCACACGGCACAAGTTAAGTGAACAATAGTTATAAAAATGAAAATTAAACAAAATCTCTAACTCTAGCATCAATACAAGTATAACATCTCTATCTTGAAAATAATAATAAAATAAGTGTAAAAGTAACATTTACCAACGACATGCAGCGTTAGGCTTCTCTACGTGACCCCTTGTCAAATATTGTTTTAAGACTAAGTTTTCTAAAGTTAGGGTAGCCTTTTAAACCATTCAGACCTAAGTATGGTACAGTGGTAAGATAAAACCTTTCAATAAATGTATTGGTGCCCAAAGGAAAGCAGAAATGTACAATAGTTGGAGCCTGTGGATTAAATGTTATTATTTACAATAAAGTAACTAAGAGAAAAGTGTCAACAACACACACAATTTGTTTTTTCATTTAATACATGTGTTTTTCTGATACTTTGTTGACAAATCAGACCACAACATGCTTTATTTACTGTGTTCTCTTTTGCATTCTTGTAAGAAAGGGCCATGCGAGTCTTTAACGCTTTGGGCCGAGAGCTGAAAAAGCAGATCTAAAGATGAGACCGAGGCCAAAAATCCACGCGTGTGAAAACTAGTGAAAGAACCTTACAGTTTTCAGTGAGAAACTAGTTGGATGGATTTTTTTTACATACGAAATAAGATTTTCTTGTGGTTTAAAAGTTAGGTACCCCAGCTTAAAGGTATATAGGATTTTCCAAAATGTTAGGAAAGAACCGGCCTCTCCACCTTTTGAACAAAACTCTCCGGTCTTATTTGACAAGCATGCATGACCAGAGTGATTGACAATTAGGAGGGCCAATAGTCTTGATGATCCACCTTTTTAATACCTTTTAATATAACTTGTATCAAGTTGGAGATGTCCACTAACCTTTGAAAGAAAATGTTTTCCCAGATGATTTTGATAGTGGTTCGATTCACAAACCCCCCGTATTGTTCTATCTGAACCTTTCTACTGCATATAATTTATGAATATTGTCACTATACTTCCAGACACCTTTTTATGAGAAAATAATGAAGATCAGAGGTGATATGTACTGACAAAAGTTTTTTTCATATGGGGTGCCTCAAGAGTTGGAGAAATTGGCTCTAAAACTAAATCTGACTATAGTTACCATAGTTACCAGGAAATAAATCCAAGCTGCTCTCCACTACAATTGAATAAGCTATAGAAATTCTGTGATATCACATGAAGATTAACACAACTTATTCAACAAAACTCACTATTCCCCTTTTTTTTAACTATTTATGTTTGTGCCTGGAGCTATTCAAAAATAAAAAGCAGGCAAAGCTTTACCAGTGCAATAGACTTTAGATGCAAATGCTTCTTGGCCTTTTGCGGTCAGAGCAGCTTCACTACGGGCTCGTATCTCTGTGGCTCTCAAAAGTACGTCGCATTAACGGCACTTCCTGTCTACATGTGTGTGTGTTTTGTAAGCCATAGGCGATGTTGACGTGTGTACCCCTGTCCCATCACCTGACGCTTCCGTTCTCCCATTGCACACAACACCCCCCCCTTCTCCCTCCGGAACACAGGAAATGCAAGCCGCTGTGATCCCCTCCAGCTATTTTTTGCACACAGCATTCAATATACTCCTCTTAACATGACAAATTGATTATTGTCTGCGAGGTCAGACCTTCGCAAACGCTCTCCTTTCGCCGCAAGGGAAAGGGAAGTGGTTATCGTTTAAATGCGGTCCCTGTTCAGATAGAAAAACATTTATACAAAGATTTTCCATTGTGAAAGCCTGAACTGGGGATGGGAGCTGGGCACAACTTTGAATTGTGGGAGTTTACTGCCCCCTGGTGGTGGGAAGTGAGGGCTGTGGTTTTGGGCTGCACAATTCTAAATGGGGGGAAAGCATTGCATTTATGAATTTGTAATAGCTTATTCAAAAGTGTGGAATTTTCTGTCATTTCTCCGTATCATGTTCTCATTTCAAGTTTCATTTCTCAACCAGTATTATTTTGTTGAAGTCAAATAAAAAGTACACAAACAGAAAAAATAAATAAATACATTTACAGTCTTTCCCTTTTAGATCTGTAACTTGTTTGTTTTGTAAATGGTCTTGGAAAGTGTATAAAAAGACCCCGTTTAAAGAAATACCAAATTGAGATTTTTCAGATCACGTTTGCGACAATTTTGATTTGCGATTCATGAAGCTAGGATAACGTTCAAAATGCACGTGGAAAATTCAAATTTTGGGGGAAAACAAAGTTATAATTTTTAAAGAAAATAACGTATTCTAAATGATTGTACAAGTGAATCGATTAATCACAACTAATCGATTATTGAAATACTTGTCAACTAATTTAGTAATCGATTAATTTGTTTTTGATGCTTACCTGGACCAAATCTGCAATTGTACATGTTCAGAGGTTTTATGACTTGGATAGAGCTATAGGGACTAGAGGATGGAACGAGTATTTCTACAATTATATTATCTTTAGTCTCTATGATGCTGGTCTTTAGGGGTGTTGGTGTTTGATTAACAAGACAATCTTATTATTTTTATTTTTTTTAAATCGCACCAAATTGATTCCATGTTACATTCCGTCTACAAACATCAACTTCCTCTTTGCTATACGTTTTAACTGTGCACCTCTGGACAGACTCATACACAAACCTATAAGACCTCTGAAAACCTAGAGCGTATGACTCGGCTAATACGTCATCACTTTTTTTTCTTGGCATAATTCATTCACAAACTAATTGAAAATGAAATGCAAGCTGTCACGTAGATCCAAGCACAAAGGCCCACCATTGTTGGAGTAACAGAATAGCCCCAGCAATTTAAGACAAATCAATGGGCTAGTTGCGATGATGCTATTCACTTGTGGCAGCCCGAGTTCCAAACAATAAGTCCACAGGGATAGCCTCGCCTTGGCTCTGGGTGATGTCACCGTTTGGCTGGGCGAGGAATGGAAACAGAAGATGAGCCGGTTCAGTCGTTCAGGGCGGCTCCGGTGACCGCGGCTTCTGTCCGTCGCCGCCACCGTGAGCCCCCTCGGCTTCAATAATGGATTGTGGGTAAAGGCAGGAGTGTGTTGGGTCACCTCTGCTGCCCAGGCCGCTCAGTCACATACTGTATGCTCAGGAGTCTTCTTTCAGCTGCTCCCTCCTTTCTCCCTCTCCTCCTCATCCTGCCTCTCCTTACTCTGCCATCCTCGCCTCTTCTCTCTACCTGCCCTCCTCCAACCCCTCTCTCTCATACCTCTCCTTCCTCTCCTCTCCTCCCTCTTCCCTTCTCCCTCTCCCCATTCCTGTTCTCCCTCGCTCCTCTCCTTCCTCTCTCCTTCTCCTCATTCCTCTTCTTCCGCTCTCCTCCCTCTCCTCTCCCTGTCCTCCTCCTTTCTCTCTCTCCTGCAGCTCTTTCCTCTTCATCCTTGCTCCCTCTCCTCTTTTCTCCCCGTCCTCCTCCTTATACTCTGCCTCCTCCATCCTCTTCTTCCTCTGTCTCTCTCACCTCCCCTCCTCCATCTCCTTCTCCACATGGGTGACGTTGCTTTTGAGCCTGGCAGAGCTCCATGATTGGACAGTGAGCTATAGAGAGGAGGAGAGAGCTGGCACACTTCTCTGTGCTGCATGATGACTGATTGAAAAGATTCTCATTTTTGGACATCCAAATCAAAGCATTTTTTGGGGTTTTTGCTTGAATCAGATTTTGTGAAAGGATTGGCCCAATTATTGTAACTGTTTTACCCAGAAAAAAACCGGGGGACATCCTAATTTCCAGAAAACTTTCTGGACAAACCATATGTTGTATTTTTTTTTTTAAGTAAGAGTCAAATCAAACAAGAATTTCCCAAACACTATAATATTTTTGTGTGGGGAAGGACTCAATACATTTAAAACAAGAACAGAACTGAGACTCGCCACGTTAGAATCAAGGAAAAATCTGTTAAAACAAAAAGTAAACCTGGGAAAAAAACAGTAAATAAGATATGTATGCATTTTGAAATCTTGGAATGTGGGCCCTGCTCTGCGTCCTTGTGTTTCACGTTATTGGACAAATTCCAGGCAGAAAATATTGAATAAATAAATTGTTGTAATAGCACACATACCTTACATCAGCGTATAGTTTCCCGAGCAAAGAAAGTTTTTGCAGCACACACAATCCTGCTGTTAGTAATTGCTATTTTGCTCAAGTCTATCTGATATTCGTCATTATTCATTAGCTCCTTAATTATATTCCAATAACATTTGCCAGACTTTTAATGAGTGTATTATCTTTTGTACAGCTTGTGCATCTTAATGTGTTCTGTGTTGTGGCAAACTTTATTCTAGGTTAGACTAATCAAAGACCAAAGCACTACTTTAAACTTTTAAAAACGTTTTAAACAAAAATATAGCTTTGATGATCTATTTCTAAATGTGTAGGAGGAAGATTGGCTTTAACTATACAAAAGGTTAAAAATGATTAATATCGTGGTTAACAGGTCTAATGTGTATTGAAATCTTTTAAATATATTTCCGTTTAAAAAAAAAAGAAAAGAAAACTTGTAAATATAAAGTATTGCCTTTTTGTTTCTGCTCAGGTTTATCTAAAAACATTGCGGTTTGAGACTGTAAGCAGAATAGTGCGGATATTTTTTATTAATCGAGATTTCAAATGTACGAGGGCATTTGTCAGACAAGAATTATGCTGGAAAATGGTCAAAATGAGAATCTATGGTTAAAATCTGCTAATTTTGATTTTTGTTGTTGCTTTAAAGCTGGGTTACCTAACTTTGAAAGCAAAAAGAGAGTACCAGCTCTTCCTCCGGGATAAACACAGTATGTTGTGAAAATGAAGTAATTTTGCTACATATTACTAGCTTTTTGGAGCTTTTGTTACATCCCATTTTATTTCACAGATTGATTGCCCCGAAACTTCTCTGCTTAACTACAGCCTTAAGATAATAACATGTTATTTTAAAGTGCTTTGTGACTCTGGTCTGTGAAAGGCGCTATATAAATAACGATTGATTGATTGCTTACTTACTTCATCTACAATCAAATACAGCGGACATAAGTATAAACAGCCATATACTTTGATCTTTACTTTGAACATAATGTTTTTTAAAAGTTTTGAAATGCACCAGAATGGTTAAAAGAAATATGCATTTGAGACTTTTACTTTGATTTTCTTTTTTAAATATACTTGTTTCACTATATTTTTTCTACTGAAGATGAGTTTTTTCCCCCTCAAAATAGAAAATTACCGGCTGTAAACACATAACACGTGATTTGAAAATGACGTAATTTCACAAGACAAATGAATGGGCAATTATTTTGTTTAAAGAGGCAGAAAACAGCTCTAAGCGTGATGTCATAGTGGTGTGACGTCATGCAAGCGCTTTTAGACGCAAGTTACGTGTTTGTAGCAGAAGCTTCTGATATTAGCATGGATGGATCTAAAAACCCCTCCACAACTTTGCATAATAACTTAGCCATTATCTATGATTGTCATCTGATCGTCGATTCGAGCTTTCCACAGACAGAAACTCAAGGGAAAGACGGGACATCATTCGGGTCCGTGAGCGGTTTGGTTTTTGTTTGGGAAGTATTTGTCTGACGGTGTTCTCGCCCAGGCTTTTATCTCAGTGAAAGGGAATGTCAAACTTCAGCCCTGAGCGCTTCATGCTCTACTTCTCTCTGATCGCCAAAAGGGAGGGATCTGCCACACGTTACACCCATCACAACATTACAAGATTTGAACTTCTGATTCTTCCAAAGGTTTTCAACTTTTTGTGTGGGTTTGGGTTTTAATTATCGTATAAGCCAACTATATCACCACCTTAAACGTTAAATTTTTACTTATTCATTAATTCCATGTTGACTAATGGCAGAGTTTTTATTCGGACAATGCAAAATTGAATAAAAAAATAACAATAAAAAAACCTATGTGTGTACAATGTATGTACAATTTGTTCCCTCTAGGAATAAAAAAAGACCATGTCCAAAAGGGAGCAGGAAGAAGTATAATACTAATGTAACCCCGCTTCTTTTCTCCTTTAAAAAAAAAAAAAAAACATTCCGACTTCCCTTTAACTTAATAGATCAAGATTATCCAAAAAGATAAGCTAAAAACGACACAAGGAAGTAATCAAAGCTGTATATAAACAAAAATTACAATGCTTCTGTTTGATATCCACAAAATGAATTTAAATAATTGACATGACAATTAAAAAATGAAAAACCTCACTTTGAAACCACAAAAAATAAAGATGGATTTCTTTACATTGTTACCAGCAATATATGTGAAAAACCATTCACTTCAAAATATATAAATTAAACTATAAATAGATTTGGGAGAGTGGGAGAATTGAACAATCGTGAATCAGGACACAACCAAACTTCAAAAACCACTCCTTAAAAGTCTCCTCAAACTCCGACTCCCTCCATCTTGTTTCCTAGTCGTTATAATCCAAGTAAAGCATCATTAAATGTCCTTTTTCACAATGCTCAAAGCACTTTTTAATCCACACTAGCACTCGTTTGTGATCACAGAGCACGCTTCAGCAGCAAGGCGGAATGATTAATTTCCTTTTGAAATGTTTTTCCTCTTTGCTCTAAAAGCCCCTTCTCCTTTTGATGCTCTGGCTCTAAAGTGCAAATTGTCGCTGTATTTAGGAGTCCTTAGGGAAGGCCCGTCACCCGTATTGCAATGAAACTCTCTCACAGACTTTTGTGCAAAGCGTGGCTGCATTTGAATTGAGCAAGATTAGCCCTTTCCTTGTGCTTCCTTGTGTTTCAAAAGTAGTCTTTCGTGAGAATGGGCAGCTCCAGTTTTGGCCAAGTGACATTTCAGATCAAGCTGTTTTTTCGTCCACTTTGGTATATATATAGAAGAAAATGTACGGTGAAACTAGTATCAAGGGTTAGCAACACTATCAGCCTGCCCTTTCCCTATGCTGCCACCAGAAAATTTGTAGAATTTGTTTTCCCCAAATTGTAATATTACCTGTGACATGAGATTGCAAAGACCGTCATTTCACTTGAAAAATTTCCAAAACTAATTTATAGGCTAAAGTCTGAGTGTGATAGATACTTTTTTGATCCCCCTTATGGAGAAATGTAGGTGTCCAGTAGCAGCAAAAAAAAAGATTATTCTTTTAAAGCTAACAATAGTAATAATAAGCAACAGCCCTTCAGGTTTCAGCAGCAGAGGTGGAGTAGCCTCTGGGTGGAGCACAACGGGTCACAAGGTGGAGTAGCTGCTTGGTTCGGACCATTTCCTCTGCTCTAGTCCAAAATAAAAGGCTGAATGCTTAATTAGCATGATTTCATGGTGGTTCAATGACAAAATACTATTACAAGAGCTGTTAGACAGTTTCAGATTTGTCCCAGAAGTTCCTGATAATGGCATGGATGGATCTAAAAACAACTCCAGGGGACAATGTTGTAACACCTGTTAAAAGCTCCTGTAACTAATTTCCTTCCTTTTTTTTGTGCCGCAGAAACCTGGTGAAGCTGGAGAGCCTGGAGGACACCTACATCCTGGACGGGCTCGACGACTCGCTCTCCGACAAGCACGGATGCCCCGCCTACGTCAGCCCCGAGATCCTCAACGCCAACGGCAGCTACTCGGGCAAGGCCGCGGACGTGTGGAGCCTGGGCGTCATGCTGTACACCATCCTCGTGGGCCGGTACCCCTTCCACGACATCGAGCCCGGCTCCCTGTTCAGCAAGATCCGCCGCGGGCATTTCAACATCCCGGAAACTCTCACTCCCAAGGCCAAATGCTTGATACGCTCCATCCTCCGCCGCGAGCCCAACGAGCGGCTGACTTCCAGGGAGATCTTGGCGCACCCTTGGTTTATCGCGTGCGGTGGACCGGGAGTTAGGGGCGAGAAGGATACGGAGCAAACGGTGCCTGACGTCAACATGGAAGAGGAGCTGGAGCAGTTTTTTTGCTGATTTCCAACTCTGCAAAACAAGCACAACTGGACTTCGCCAAGGCCAGAGCGCGCGCAGCCACGGCCAAATCTAGTAGTGTAGAGATAGCTGGGCATTTGTCACTCTTCTACAAAAAAAAAGGTTTTTCCATCTCGTTTCCGGTCCATTCTCTTGTGGAAAACCTCGGGACAAATGTGTTCGAATTGGTGTGTGCACCTCCGCCTGCCATCGGTGCGTGAGCGTGCCAGGAAATGCAAAGTCGCAAACAATGTAGCAATTGTTCTTTTTTGGGATGTGTTTGGTTAAACGTAGTGCTCTTAAAAAGGTAGATCCATTGGCCATTTCCGACACTATGGAAAGCGTGGAGGGACAAAAGACGGGAGAAACAAAAGAGAAATACAGCCGACCAACTGCAGCACCTTTTCCATTCAAGTTTTCTTTTAGTGTCCGCCGACCATCAATATGGCTGATCGCATTATTTCATTAACTTATATTTTGATGTTTTTTTCTTAAAATCATTAACATAATTATGTTCCTTTTCACCTCATCTGTTTGTTTTCAGTTATCAGTGCTACGTCAGTCATAAAGTCTGCCTTCATCACTCCCAGAGCTCACTTTTCCTGTTACCCCCAAACGTCATGCACTTACTGTGTTTGTGAATGGACAGTTCAACCTCTATGAAATTAGCTTCCTCTTATTTAAATTAATTCTTCAGTTGTAGAAACAAAAGAGCAAACATTTATTTAAATTGTAACAGTGATATATAAATATATAAAATAATAAATATATATATTTAAATATAAGTACATTGCAGGGTTTTCTTTCTTCAGAGATTCCTTTTCATGTATAATGTAGGCAATATCTCGACACAGGACAGGCCCGTTCTGTCTGAAGTTTAGTATCAGATGGTCTGTTCTGGCCCAGGGCCTTTAGTCTGCCTGCACAGGTCCTGTGGACGCTCAGATACAGAGTACAGTGGACATGTTTGTCGTATCAATGTTCTTGAGTTGTGTTTTTATCTAGTCATGGCATGACCCCATGGATGCTATAGCCTGCCTCGCAGGGGAGGGAGGGAGGGGGGTGCTTGTTTTCTAAGAAGTTCCACGTGAACATGTTCAATTTGCTACTTTCTGAGTTGCTTTTCAATAATCCAACTATTGCTTTACTGGTTTTGTAGACTGAGCTCCGTTCTTTAAGTTGGTGCTGATTTGGTGCTATGTTTAGTCCTTTAGTTTCATGGAGGGAGGTGCATGGTGGACATCCTGCCTCACATGTTCTGATTGTATTGTAACAGATTCTTGTGTTTTGTCCAAATTTATTCAGTAAATAAATTGTGAACTGCTACTTTCACTGGGCCTCTGTCTTCTTTACACAAAACACATACTGTTAATGGACTTTATATCAGTTGCTTCACAAGTCTAATTTCTTTCTCCTGATGTGGAAATGATTATTGTTAGTCTCCACTTCTGCATCTGAATGATCCTCACACATCACTGCTAAAGGATCTCTTTATCTTATCTTAATCAAACCCAGATGCCCAAATGATCTTCCTGCTAAGTCATTGTCCCATTTATACCAAAGTTTCCATCTGGTACTAAATTCCCCAATTTGAGCATGTTCACTCAACACACAATCATTGGATTCCAAATGACCAGACTTCAATTCTATAAACTTATAATCATTAGTGCTTTAGTAATTACGGAAAACACATAAAATATTCAAATATATAAACCACATTCTTCGTGGATGAGGTGCAAGATTAAATGTTTGTACAAGTAGAAGTAGCTGTCTGACTAGTTCAATTTATAGATTTTTGAAGAGGCTCCGCAAACAATTTAGAAATCTGTAACGGTTACAAAATATTGTCTCCAGTATTTACTTGGTTGGATTAAAAGTGCTGCACAAAATAGAAAAATTACAATGAAAATACTGACAGTGGCTCATTTGGTAGAGAGGGGACAATTAACTGAAAGATCAAGGCTCTCATCGACGGAGCTGTTGAGGGAAACAAAAACATCACATCACAGATTAAACCCCAGTGATTGTTTGGAGGGATTATAAACTCACTATAAGTGTTCTTTCAAATGAAAAAATCTCCAAATTTACAGGTGTCTAAAGCGAACAAAGCCTGACCTCTAGTGGCGACTGTGCGAACCGCTGTTCTTGATGTGGAGAGAAAATTCCATTCATTTTTACATTGACTTAAATTTATAGTTTGATACTTTAAAATTACAATAATAGTACACACCTTTAACTGAAACTTTGGTTAGTATATTGTTAATCTCTAAAATGATCAACGTGTCCTACATGAATGTTCTTCCACTTACACTTGACTTGGAGTTGGTTATAGCTCCATCCATCTTAATTTGTGATACAAAATGTCATGTTCTGTGCCTCTTCTGTATAAGTCCTCTATTTTCAAACTCATCAGACTGATGTCATGGACAGTGTCTCTAGTAAATCATTAGATCATTGATCATGTCTAGAGCACTCTTTCAAAACCAGCACGGGAAGGAAACCTTGAACAACAAACACTGTGGTACAGGAGGCTCCAGGTGAGAGAAGTTCGACCTGACCCAGAGCACTTAGCCCTTTTTTGTCATTCATCAAAGATTTACATAGACTTGGACTACATTCCTGCACTCCAGGGTGAGCTCTAACGAAACAAGATTACATACATTGACCGCAGAGTTAAAAAGAAAAACAAGTACTCCAAGTAGCAAGTGGAGAGCGAATAAACCCTCCTATCCCTGTTTCATCAACAAATTCAAATTATATTATAACTCCTTAAGAAATATAAATCTAACAGAAATACCTCCTATTTGATTTCTAAGTATCTTTTGTTTTAACTATTCTATTGCTCAGTTTAACTGTATAATGTAAACTGTAACTGTAGGTTATTTTTCTATTGAAGTGCCTTTGCCCGCTATAGCTTGGTTATTTGAGTCCTCTGCTTGTGTTTGTTTGTGTATATGTTCCACTGTTCTTAAGAAAACCTGATTGAGTTTCACTTATTATTTGAGAGATGCCATCTTTAAGCCTATTTTCAATAACATGAGCTAACAATATATAATCTACGTTGAGTAGTGTTTTTGGTCATAGATTATCAAGATATTTATTGTCTGATATGAGACCCTGTTTCATCGTGGTCATTAAAGTTCGATCTTTGACACATTCCTGTATGGCAGAAAAGAGTAAGTCCTTTATGTGCTCCCAAAAATGCTTATAAATGTCTGATGAAAGGCCACCTTGACCTGGAAACTTCAGGAAGGGACAATTGTTTGACTGCAATATCAAGTTCAAGCATCTCAATATCCGAGTCACACAATTTTTCAAAGTCTGAAGGATGGTGAATGTGGTGTATGATGTTTTACAAAAGCACAGAGTCTGACTGCATCAGCACAGGAGTATTAATCTCTGTAGAATCTATAAACTTCAGTGATCTAGTTAGGGTCGGTGCATTCATTATCGTTTATCATAAGAGTGGTAATGAGATTTCTTTCCTGTCTCCTTTTCTCAAGACCACAAAAATATGCAGTATTGCGTTCCCCTTCCTCTATCAATTTTGCTTTAGATCGTATGAAGGCTCCCCGAGCTCTTCTGGTACTGAGTTCATCAAATTTAGTCTTTAGAGTGATGTAAACAGCTTTGTCAGAGTCCAACATAGGAGTTCTTTTGCAGTAGTCCTCCAGATCCTGCACTAGTTTAAGCTCTTGTTCTCTCATAAATCTGCTCCTCTGTTTGCCAAATTGTATGGAACTTTATATTTAAAGAAATCCCATCTGCTGCAATAATTACCAATAGACACATATTTTATATCTGACTTTAAATCTTCATCATAGTACAGATGTCTTTACATTTAAGATAATCAGAGTTAAATTTCCAGTTGACATTTTCATTTTGTTCATTCTATTGTGGGAGCACTAGATATTTTAACATCAGATACAAAGTCAGTCAGCTGTGGAGCTGCTGCAGTCATAAGTCTATCCTAGATCTACTGGAACCATTAGGTTTAATCCAGGAGTATTGTCAAAGATTTGGAATTATATTTCTCCACACATAAGTCACACAGAAGTCCAGTAATGTAATGGGTATCTGTAAATTTAGTGGGATATCTGTCAAGATATTCGTCACTTGCTAAATTAAAGTCTCCTCCAAATAAAATAAAGTAGGGAACAATCTTTTATAGTTATAACATTTTGTAATGGAGCCCTATTTTGAGTGTTGTTGCTGTAACCACAACTGTTTGATATAATTATACAAATGTCATCTACTTTATCACTACAGTCAACCAATGACCATGTTCATCAGCTTTATATGATATTACCATGGATCTATTATAATAATAATAATAACAATAATGCATCAGTTTTATATAGCGCTTTTTTGGACACTCAAAGACGCTTCACATGTGTCATTATTCATTCACTCCATACACGGTGGTGATAAACTACTACTGTAGCCACAGCTGCCCTGGGGCACACTGACAGAAGCGAGGCAACCAGTATGCGCCATCGGCCCCTCCGACCACCACCAACCATTCACGCACACACCAGACTCATTCTAGACAATGGGGGTGAAGTTTCTTTCCTAAGGACACAACAGCAGTTTGGCACTTTACAGCCGCAGCCGCCCCACTGTGGCTGGTGTTCCCAGAGGTTAAGTGTCTTGCCAAGGACACAACGACAGTAGTCAGTGGGAGTCGATGGTGAAAGTCTTGAGCGGGGCTTGAACCCACGACCTTCTGGCTCAAAGGCCAACGCTCTACCAACTGAGCTACTGCCGCCGGATAATTACGGATATGCATTACCCAGGCACATGTTGAGATCCATAGTTGAGACAAATACCAACTTCAGCAGATCTGTTGGTCCCGTGACTGAATTGTGTTGTCCAGTAGGTGGCATCAAAGGCACATGAGTGAGGTTCTTGAAGAAGGACACAGTGACATTGAAAAGTTTTTACAATGTAAAAATATAGCTCTCCTCTTTACATTGTATTGTAGCCCCCTTGTATTAAGTGAAACTAAATTAAAAATTATCAAAACGTCCATCAGCTGGATAACCTCGCAGCTATAAAAACAAAAGCAAAAGTAAACTTTTAAGTAGAAATGTTTTTTAAAGTGTGAATGAATGTATCCATGAGGCCCGCGGAAAAAAGCCTTCTCCCCTGCTTAACGTGCTTGGCTGATGCAGGGCTGATGCAGGGTTGATGCAGGGCTGATGCCGGGCTGATGCCGGGCTGATGCAGGGCTGATGCAGGGCTGATGCAGGGCTGATGCAGGGCTGATGCCGGGCTGATGCCGGGCTGATGCAGGGCTGATGCAGGGCTGATGCAGGGCTACAGCGCTGCTCTCGCTTCTCTGTCCTCCTTTGATGAGATCCGCCATGATCTTCCAGAAACCATCTCTGTGGTTTCGCCTTGTGAATTGAATAATGATGTATCTCACCCTACTGTCTGTCTTTGGCCCAATTCGGGGCGCTGTATCCACGACATGCTCCATGTCTTGTGCCCATCACGATTTGTTTAAGTAGAGTAATGCAGCCTCGCGGAAATTCAATTTGGAAGACGTCAGCAAAGCCACCCCTTCCAGGCCGGCCTCGCAGCCCCAGCCTATCGCACAGCAAACGGCCATTTCCAACCAACCTACGCCGGCCAGGCCAGCCGCTTAAAAGCGGAGAAACTCCCACTTTACGGCCTTCTCGAAGCCTTGCATTCTGGTGTGATTGTATTCCAACCAATGCCCAGGGAATTTGTGAGAACTCCTGAACAACTCATCAACTAATCTAATTTAATTTTTCACAAAATACATGAACGTGTGTTTGTTAAAGATATATTTAAAATGAATAAGTTGAGGTAAATGTTGTGGTGCATATCATTGGTCATGTTCTCTCTGTTGTATTGCAGGGAACATGGAGGACTCCTGTATAGAAAGTTATTCGCTGATTGACATTGTCTTTAGTGGGTTTAAAAAGGTGAAATATGACAATAAATACGCAATCTCAGAATAGAAACTCTGGCTTTGCATTCTGTACAGGTGCAGTGTTCTACATGCAACTCATCTCACAATAGAGAAATTTGCAACATTATTCTGTTTGTGTATAATTGTGTAGCAAGATAAAAAAAAAACATAATATATTTAACAGCACTGATGATGGCGTGTTCTGTTTCAGCGGGTGGGGATGCAAATTTTGACAAGGGGTGCACTCCTTGTATTAAAGCTGCACTAACTGACTTTATTTTCGTATTAATTACGAAAATGCTATCCATGTCCATGTAGTGCATTGGGATATACGTCCTTTTGAAGAATAATTAGCGCAGATTTGTGCTGGCGTGACATTATATTTTAGATCGAGTTTTGATGAAACAAGGAAGAGAATGTGTTTCGGGTCGCAGATTGTGACCAATCACAGCGGACCACTGGCCCCCACTTTCGTGAGAAATCTACAGGTCTCCGTTAGCATAGACGGCTGAGTTAGCACAACAAGCCGAGGAGCTAACCTGAAGCTTCGTGTCTTCATCACCGGTTACTGCTTACTTAGCGAAACAGCCATCCAAAAGAAAGTCCCATTCCTCCGTGCTTCCCGGTTCTATCGTTTTATGGTCACGCCATCCACGTGCAAATCCATATCCATGTATTATCCACATTGGGAGACACTAGCTCCGTCCCAACACTGTGTGTGTGTGGGGGGAGATAGCTTCGTGGGTGCGGGGAGGGGAGCAGAAAGAGAGAGGCCAGCGAGTCCACGGCTTCAAAATCCCAAAGTCAGTTAGTGCAGCTTTAAGTACATTTATCAAAATAACCTCCATTTTGTAACCTTTCATTAAATCTAATCAATCATAAATATGTCGGCCTTTTTAATATACAAGCACTCAAGTTGGTTTTGCCGTGTGGGGATGCACATTTTCGACAAGGGGGCACGGCTCGACAGAAGACCGACCGTACCTTAAATATGCTTTCATATATGTTATGCTGGTTCAGCACTTGATGCGGACCTTCCCACCGTGGACTGGACCAGGACTTCCGTTTAATGACTTTCACAAACACCCAATCTCCAACTCGAACAGGTGGCTTCTGTGCACAAAACGGTTGACTCGGAACATTATTTGTTTCTTGACAAGTTCTAGTCAATAATGTTTTTCTCATATAGTCAGCCAACGTGGGGTTATCACCAGGAGACAACTGGTTGTTTGGCTGTAAATCTGGAAGTGTATATGGCCTACCATATAATATTTCAAATGGTGTCAAGGCACTACCTTGAGTGGGTGTGATATGCATACTAAGTGTTACTAACTCTATGCATTCAGGCCATTGTCTGTTTGTCTCTTCCATGCATTTCCTCAACTTAGCTTTAATAGTGCCGTTATTTCTTTCAACTAAACCTGCACTTTGTGGATGGTAGCTACAATGTCTTTTTAGATTTATGTTGAGATTTTTTCCCACTTTATCTATTACATCATTTACAAAATGTGTTCCGTTGTCACTTCTGATAATTCTTGGCAAACCGAAGGTCACCACAATTCTTTTGCATATTGCTTTAGCTACTGTCAAAGCATCCGGAGAGTGACAAGGAAACAATTCTACCCATTTGGAAAATGCATCAATAATCACGAGGCAATATTCCAAATTGTTCACTTTATTTAACTGGATAAAGTCCATGTGGATTTCTTCAAAAGGATGTGTGGGTTTAGGAAATACCGCCCTTTTTGGTCTCATATTTCCTTGTGAATTGTGTTTTATACAGATTACACATTGATTACAAAAATGTTTTGAGTATAAACTGTACCCATATGTTGTATAATATTTGTTCACTAATCCACACATACTTGCAGAAGAAACATGGGTTACTCCGTGGCTCACTAAAGCCGCCCATTTAAACATTGATCTAGGTAGAACTGGCTTTTCGTTTGGACCCATGTACAAACTCCCATTGAATGTTGCTCCCTCTTTAAGCCATTTTTCTTTTTCTGCTTTTGGCGCTTGTTGTTGCATTTCTTTTAAAAAGTCATCAGAATCTAGTATTTCTTCACTAAGCAGTAAACCTGCTACTTCTTTTGCAGCTTTATCGGCTGTGTTATTTCCTGTTGAGACTTTGTCTGTCCCTCTTGTGTGAGCTTCACATTTGCATACAGCAAGCTGTTGTGGTAACATTATTGCTTTGTGTAAATTCTTTAATAATGTTGCATATTTTACTTCTTTCCCCGCAGAAGTTTTATAACCACGATGTTTCCATTGTTGACAAAACAAATGAACTGCTGCGAATGCATATTGGCTATCGGTATACACCGTCACTTTCTTATCTTTATACAATTCACAAGCTCTCGTTAAGGCTACTAATTCTGCTGCTTGTGCAGATAAGTTACTTGGAAGTGATTTTGCTTCAATTGTTTTGTCCACAGTGGTCACAGCGTATCCTACATGGTTCCTCCCAAATTCATCTTTCCCTGCTGAGCCATCAACAAACACAGTACTTCCTACAGAGAGTGGCATGTCCTTTATATCTGGCCTTGGACGGAAGTCTTTATATGCTTCCTGAACACAATCATGTGCAGTGCCATCTCCTTCTGTAGGAATTAGAGTTGATGGATTTAATGTATTACATCTTTCTATTGTCACATGTGGTTGTGACAGCAGAAGTGTCATGCAGGAAAGGTGACGGGCTGGTGACAGGAATGTCATGCTTGTTTGCAAAAGTAGCATTGACACAGCATGTGGTACTTTCAGGATCAATGAGTGAAACAGAATGACTTCAGCAGATGCCTGCACAGCCAATGCTGCAGCCAAAACCGCCTGGACACACACTGGAGTCGCTCTGGCCACTGGATTGAGCCTTGAAGAGTAAAAAGCAATTGGTCTTTGTTTTGAACCCCATTTTTGAGTTAATACTGATGTCATAAATCAATTTTTACAGTCAACTGTCTGTTAAAAAGGCTTAGAATAGTCCGGCAAAGCTAAAACTGTTGAGCTAGCTATAATTCCTTTAATTTTACTAAAGGTTGTGACTGCTTCATCAGTCCAATGAATGTTTTCTTAAGGTGACATTGGCTTATCAAAAATTAAATTTTGTAATGGCCTTACTAATTCTGCATAATTTGCTACCCATAGCCGACAGTAATTACATAGCCCCAAAAATGACATCATCTGTTTTTTAGTTTGGGGTCTAGGTGCAGCTAAAATAGAAGCTTTCCTTTCCCCATGGATTAACCTTCCGTTTTTGGTTAATGTATGACCTAGGTATTTAACTTCTGTCTTCCATAACTGTAATTTATTTTTGCTGACTTTATTGCCAGTTTTAGCCAAATATTTCAGTCTGTCTTTGATGCCACCAAAATGTCATCCACATAGCTCAAAATTTGGCTTCCCTCTGGTGGATTAAACTCAGCAAGACAATTTTTTATTGCATCAGAGAAAATTGTAGGTGATTCAGCAAACCCTTGGCTTAATCTTGTGAAAACATATCTTTCCCCTTCAAAAGTAAATGCAAACCAATATTGACTGTCTTTATGCACTGGAATTGACCAGAATGCATTGCTGAGATCAATCACAGAGAAGATTTTAGCTTCTGATCATAATTGATTTAGCAGTGTGTATGGATCAGGGACATTTGGTGCTCTCTGAATAACGGCTTCATTCACAGCTCGCAGATCTTGAACCATTCTCCAGGCTGTGGATGGAGGTGCCTTTTTTACTGGGAAAATTGGTGTGTTACAAGGAGATTCTGAGCATTTTTTAATTATTCCTTTTTTAATTAAATCCTGTATTACAGGTTTTATTCCTTCTACTGCATCAGGTTTTAAAGGATATTGTTTTATCCTGGGCCTGTACTCAGTTTTCGCTCTGATCTCCACTGGTAACATTCCCTTCATTAACCCAACATCTGTGGGCCCTTTTGACCACACCTCATCTGGAACTTGCTCAAGCTCCTCCTCTTCTTCTTGTGTGAGAGTCATTTGTCATGCAAGATCCTGGTCAGTCAGATGTACAGCTGGCATACATACTACTGTCCAGTTTATCTTTTGTTTTCTCCAACCAGTTGTTTTACTCAAGTATACTCCTACTTCTTTATCTTGTTCCCAATCTCTAATTGATTCCACTTGACCAACAAAGGCATTGTTATCACTCCACATTGCCTCTGGGTTTTTGGATATAGAGATATGTGGATTCTGCAAATCCCCCATAAGCTGTTTTACTGCATCTGTCACTCCTACAGTGCAAAAACTTGTTTTGTCTCTCCAGTAAATGTCTCTAATTTGAACCCGCTGTGGGCCCAATTTTTGTACTAGTTTATCATAAACTGGATCACCTCCTGGAGTTGTTTTGCGTCTCAAAGTGACATGTAACTCATCATTTTGTTTGACAAAGGCACTTGGAATTAATGCCTGTTTTGCCCTTTTTACAATTTCTTTCCCTGTTTTTCCAGGGTCACTTGCTGGCATGTCCAAAGTCCAACAAAACAATAAAGATGTTTCCCCTTCTAGGACATGGATATCGGTGCTGTTACA